GTGTGGCCTGCCTTTAGGCACAGTGGTAGCGACTGTGAGTCACATGTGGAGTGTGTCCTTGTGACCCATGCTCCCATGACCACAGGTCCACATGTAACTGCAGAGCCTCATATGGCCATAAGTCCTTTTTGTGTGTATAACCAATCCTTGTGCAACTGAGTTCAAGCGTGGTTGTGAATCCAGGTGGCTGAGTGCAGGACGAACACAGGGCAGGCACGTGGTTTTACGCTCGGGGTTGGGCAGCTGGACCCTGGTTCTGGCATTCCCTCTGGTCTGTGATGCTTCTGGGTCTAGCTCCTGGAAGCTGGCTGTTTCCTTGGGGGCAAAGGCATGGAGAGGCAGGAGGTACTGACTGGCCCATGCTGCCAGTAAATTTTAGAGTCCTGGCCTGGGTGGAGAAGGTCAGGAATTTTGGCCTGGGCAGGCCAGAAGGGGCCACAGACAGATTTGAGGGTCGATCCCCAGGCAGAGTTAGGGACTGAGTGCCTCAGAGGGGGGCGGGGAGCGGTGGACCTCAGAAGGGAGGGAGAGGAGGGGGCGGTAAGAGGATTAGGCCGTTTAGACCCTTCCCTCCCACCAGGATCCCCCACCCCCAAGCTCCAGAAAAGATTTCTTCTGCCAAAGCAAAACCGTTTAGGCTCCATTTAAAGGGACAAGAAAGGTGGAAGCGGGGGCTTTAAATAACCTTTTAATTTCCCTTCAGGGATCTGGCCCTGTGAGGGAGGGGAGAGGAGAAGAGGGAAGGGAAGGGAAAGGAAGGGGAGCCCAGGCTTTTTGGCCTAGGTAATCGGGACAGAGGCCAGGTGCTCGCTCCACACGCTGGAGAAATGGTGGGACGCTGCGCCCCCAGCTGGCTGCCTTCCACACACGAACACACGCACACAGATCATCCTCGAGAAAATTATCACCCCCTATGCACACTAGTCACTCAGTCACACACACAGATCTGGATACAGGTGCACGTGCAGAGAGTCACATTTAGACACACACAGATGAAGGGGGGGTGGTCACCAAAATCCCTCCCATGGTAGCACAGATGTGGAGTCCCTCCCTGCCCCTAGCCATCCCTACTTGGTAGTCCCAGGGGGGCTTGCTGAGTGCACTCCCCACAAGAGGAATCCCGGCTACAGATGGGTCTCCCCTTCCAGCAGGAGGGAACATCATCTTTCTTTGCCCAGGGACCCAACTCCAACCTATCCCTCCCTAGTACCCTCCTCAGACAGGACAGGGGCTGCTGGGCAGACTTGGGGGGTGAGGACTCCAACCCCGCCTAGTTCTGACTTGGGAAGCAGACTGTTAGGGAGAGCACAGGTTCTGCTGGTGAGCTGAGGGCTACTGAGGGCTCCAGGTGGTGGGTCATGGGGCTCAGCTAGGCACCAGCTCTTTGAAGGGACGTGTCTGCCACACAGACTCTGGGCCCAGCTGGGGAAACCCTTGCTTGCCTCCTACCCAGGCCCTGGCCAGTGCCAGCTGTCCCAGTCCTAGAGGTCTGGAGGTGGTGGCTGGGGGGCCAGTATGCCTAGAGCCTCACGGTACACACCGGTCCTCCACACAAGGGGACACCATGGACTGCTCATTCACACTCCCACCCCGTGCACTTCCAGAGACATGGTGGCAAAGTGCTGGGCTCTGAGTTGATTGTGGATTCTTATGGGGAGGGTGCACAAAATCCCTGGCATGTGCTGGGACAGAAAGTCAGAGAGGAAAACAGGGTAGGAGGGCTAAGGGGAAGGTGTCTTTGGGGAGGTCTGGGGCGGTGGAGAGCTTGGCATGCCACAGTGTGGGTGGGTTTTACTGATTTACCAAAATGATTCCGCAGGTGCCACCGTCTAGACAGGAGCTAAGAAATGGAAATGATTCAGGGCCTCCCTCCCTAGCCTGTTCCTGGAGCCTCCCCACCCACCGCCCCAGGGCTGTGGCTGACACCTTCAAAGGGCTTAAAAGGAAGGCATCCCAGACTGGTTGGGGACCCGCCTCCAACAGACTTTCTGGGGGCTACTGGGGCTGGGAGTGGAGGCGGCTGTGAGTTTTGGGAGGTGTTGTGTGTTTGTGTGTATTCATTATCCCGTGAGTTATGCATATGTTGTAGTTGCAGGTATATATTCCTATATTTGTATGTAACATATGTGTGTACAGGTTTAAATATGTAACATATGGATGCAGACTGTGCCTCTGTGGGCTGCGCGCATGGGTGTGTGTGTGGGGAGATGTTTCTAAATTGGACCAAGGTGGTGGGTAGGCAAGGGAGGGGTTAACTTAGGAACTTTGGAAAAGCGGGCGCTCACAGGGCTTCGGGCAGCCTGGAAACCGAGACCCCCACATGCCAGACGTCTGTGCAAAAGGATCTGGGAACTGAGTGAGAATCCGAGGTTCCCCGAAAGTCCCAGGGCAGACCCCAGCCCTGCCATTTCTGGACTCGGTTTAGAGCAGCAATGCCAAACCCAACCCCCCTAATCCCCCGCACGTACACACACTCTGAAAGAGAGGCCCACTCAGCACCAGAGGGGAGGGGGCGGATGCCAGGATGCGGCCACTCTCTAGGCGCCCCAGACGGGCAGGGGATACCCTCGAATTGCGGGAACACCCGGCTGCGATGTCGGAGGCTCGCCGGGGAGGCTGGAGACCGTGCCGCCCTGCGCTCCTTCCCGGAGGCCCACTCTCTGCGTCCGGATCTGCCGGGATTCGGAGGCCTCATCCGGGCTCGGGGGTTGGCGGGGTGAGGGCCCCGGTGCCACTCCCCATCCTGGCCCGCTCCCGCCCCCACGGCTGGCGCTCCCCCGGGCAGTGGATGGCGGGTGGGCGGCTTAGAGCTAATTCGAGAGCTAATGGCGGCGGCGGCCCGGCCCCCCGCGGCCCCGCCCCCCCCCACCCCCACCCCCACCCCCAGCCCCGGGCAGGGCCGCGGGCCGCCCGCATCTGCGCGATCTGCGGTGATTCATCATCGTGATCCATGGCGCGCGCTGACGGCGGCCCCGGCCGCGCTGACAAGACTAACAAAGCAATTTGCCACGAGCCATCTCCTGGACAGGTTATTAGCGCGGCCGCCGCTTAAAGAGCTCTCCCCCCGCCCCCAGCCCAGCGCGGGGCAGCTACCTGCTCTGTCCCCTCCCTCCACCCGGCTGCTGGCCCTCACCGCTCAGAGATACCCCTGTGGATTCCTGGCCCTCTCCGACCACCCCAAAGCGTCCACCCACACACACACCCTCTTAGTTCCCCCGCGCGAGTTCCTTCTCCCCTAGCTGGGGTAGCACTACCTGTGGTAGCACTACCTTCTCCCCAAATCCCCCACAAGCTCCTGGCCCCTTCCCACCATCTCTCAGCCTTGCCTCAGTGCTGACTTAGCCCCTCACCTCCTCACTCCCAGAGGTTCCCTCTACTCTCCACCCTCCTCACTTCCTCTCCCCACCCCATTGCCATCAGGGATTGGAAAACGCTGTTTGTTCCCAGCTTTGTGGGGAGGGGTTCCCCTGCCGTGTCTTTGAGTTTCCTCTGACCGCTCTTGCTCCAGGTGATCTTACTGTCGGGGGTGAGGTGGCCCAAGGCCGGCTGGATGGCTATGGAGGTGGGAGGACACTGTGACTTCTCCCAGAGTACCCTGACCAGGGACATGGTGAGTCCCGTGGACTTTCTCTGAGGGAGGCCATGAGGGCTGGGGGGAAATGTTGGGCACCATCCAAACAGAGGCTCGGAGAGATGCAGAAACTTGCTGAGGGCCACACAGCAGATCAGGGCAGAAGAGGGACTGGAACCAGGTGTGTGACCTCTGAGGCCTGGGCTTCATCCCTGGCTGCACCGCTCTGGGAAGTAAAAGAGGCCAAGAGACCAGGGTGCCCTCACTAAGCAACTGCCCTCCCACCTGCAGAGAGGGGTGGGGAGAGTTATATGTGGGTGTGTACAGGACCAGATTTATCTGGATATAACATAGATAATGAAGGAAAGGAGCGTTTTGGGAGGTGTTGTGTGTTTGTGTGTATTCACAAAGACTGGTCATTTCGGACAAGTCTATTTCTTGAAAGAATTCTCTGGGTAGAGTGGACGCAGTCTGGTTCTTTAGATACACGGCAGGACTGTGTGGGGGAACTGGACATGCCCTGGATGAGCTCCTGGGTGTGTGTCTGGGTACATGGGTAAAGCCAAGTGTCCATGTGTGTACTTGCACAGGGTGGGGTCCCTCTGAACGTATGGAGGGTTTCTCTGTGTATGTGTACACTGGGGGCTAAGTGTGTGCCTTTGTGTGTACATGGGGGCCTGGGAGGGGCAGCGTGTGGCACCTGTGTGAACGTGTGTGTGCACACCTAGGGTAACTAGGCTTCAAACCAGGAAGGAGTCCCCACCCCCTTGTTCACTCTTCTCTTGGATCCAGCCTCAACACTCCCAAACTGTCAGCTTCTGTAGCTAAGCAGTGAGGAGAGCCAGAGCCCTGTTCTGAGAGCCTGGGGGAGCTGCTTCTGCAGGATCCAGATCTAGGAGGGGAGCTTTTTCTGCAGGGCAGGTGGTCTGGAACCTCCACTGTGAGCCAGGTTGGTGCTGAGCGTGGAGGTTGGGGCCTGGGGAATGGACCTGGTGCCGGGAACCCGGCTTTTTCTTTTCCTCTGGCCAACCAGGCCGCTGTGTCTTCACCCGCAGGGAGGCCCAGCTCCGTCACTGCCTGCACCACCACTGCGTACCTGACGTGAAATATGGGGGGCGCAGGCCGCGCTGGGGAGATTTGTCATCTGCGCTCAGCGGGTGACTCTATCTGCAGACTATTAGAGTATAAAATATATTTTACAAGAGTTTTAGCTACAGGTGACTTGCTCTTTATTACTAGATGTGGGCAAAATCAATACTTCTGTAACTAAAAGATCATTTATTTTGCTTTTTGAAACATTTTTCAACAGGGGCACTGGCTAAGCTTGCAAAGCTATGATTAAGAGTTATGGCGGTGCCTGTTTCTCTTAACCCTTGAAGGACCACAGCCCAGGCTCTCCTAGCACTGGTACCTGCCTATGGAAAGCCAGACACATAGACACGCATCCCAACTGCAGCAAAGACAGGCACACAGACTGAGGTGCACAGGCCCCCACTCCAATAAAGCCATCATGCAGATACACTGATTCTCATAGATGTATACAAAAACTCTCGCAGGTACACACAAAAATACAGCAGCATATACACTCCTTCCCACCCAGATACCCACAAATCAAATGCACACGTGCACAAATGAATGCTTCCCACCAGCACATGCTTCTGCACACAAATGTCTCCCACCTCGTGCCCTTACACGCTCACACCTACATACCATGACACTAAGATGTGCACAGTCACACTGTGCTAGCTTCTGACCAGTGGCCAGCCAAGGGTGGGGATTCTGAAACGGGTTGGAAGATGCTAAGAGGGGTCTCATGAATGCAGCTCTGGCCACTACTGGGCAAGGAATGGAGAGAGCCCAGGAATGTCAGGGATCTGTGGAACCTGGGCCTTACTCCTGTCAGAGCTCAGCTCTCCTCAAGCCCTCATCCCCATGACAGCCCTGCCCCTTTGCTGTCAGCTAAAGCAGGGGGTGGTTTTTCTGGAAGCTGCCATATACGAAAGCTGTGAAGTCATACAACTCTGTCAAAGCGGCTCATTGGTGACCACCCCTGTCCTGCGTGGGTTCAAAATGATTAAGTGGCCACATACCATTCCCAGAATGGCATCCCCTAACCAGATTGGAGGTGTCCTCTAGCCGTTATCTGAGTCAGCAAATCAGCATCAGCCAGTTGTTATTTATCTCAGGGTTGGGGAGAAACATGGAGGTGACAGTGACTTAACCCACCCATAGGTGAAGCTCTAATGGTGAAATTCCAGACAGTGAGGTTGACCAAGTGTATCAGTTATCTATTGCTGAATAACAAATTACCCCTAAACTTAAGTGGCTTGAAACAAACATTGATTATATCACAGTTTCTGAGAGTCAGGAATCCAGGAGCAGCTTAGCTGGGTGGTTCTGGCCTGGGGTCTTTCGTGGGTTGCAATTACACTGGTTAGGGCTACTTCATCTGAAGTCTCGTTAGGGCTGGAGGGTCCTCTTCCAAGAAGACTCATTCACAGGACTGGTGGTTGGTGCTGGCTCTCAGCCAGTGTGTCCCAGTTCTCCTCCATGTGGCCTCTTCAGCAGGAGAGCCTGGACTTCTTTGTATGGTGGCTGGGATCTGAGAGAGAGAGAAAAGGTCCAATAGAAGCTGTAGTCTTCTATTTGAAGCTGTAAGCTAATCTTAAAAGTGACATCACTTCTGCTAAGTTTCAGTCATTATAAGCAAGTCACTAAATCCAACCCATACTCAAAGAGAGGAGAATTGGGCTTCCCTGGTGACGCAGTGGTTGAGAGTCCGCCTGCCGATGCAGGGGACACGGGTTCGTGCCCCGGTCCGGGAAGATCCCACATGCCGCGGAGCGGCTGGGCCCGTGAGCCATGACCGCTGAGCCTGCGCGTCCGGAGCCTGTGCTCCGCAGCGGGAGAGGCCACAACAGTGAGAGGCCCACGTACCGCAAAAAAAAAAAAAAAAAGAGAGGAGAATTAAGCTCTACCACTCAAAGGAAGAAGTACTGAAAAATTTGTGGACATGTTTAAACTACCACAACTAGGCAAGGGGACACTTCCATTCTACCCAGTGTCTGCAAAATGACAAGCACCTCTTGATGGCTCCAAACCCTAGAAAAGCCATGGAACATCCTGAAGTGGGGAGGGCATGGCCAGGTGATCGTGGGGACTCAGAGGTAACCCTCGCTCAGGACTACAGTGGAGCAGTATCACATGCACAGTAATTAAATTGCATGGACCCTGGAGCCAGACTGTCTGGGTTCAAATCCAGCCTCAGCCACTGAGTAGCTGTGTGACCTTGAGCAAGCCACTTAACTCCATGCCTCAGTCTTCTTACTTGTAAAACGAGGGAAATACTAGTACTTACCCCTTGGGCTGCTGTGAGGATTAAATGAGTTAACATTTAACATTAAATGAGTTAACATTAAATGAGTTAACATTTAGCGTAGTACCTGGTAAGTGGTAAATGGCACATAAGTATTGGCTAATACCATCAGTTCCTACCTCTCGTTGCAGCCTGTGGGCTCTTTCTCACAATGGATTTATTGAGCACCTTCATTGTTCCTCAGACTAACCCCATAACCCCACCACCAGCACCCCAATTACCCTGGTGGGGGGCTAGGCAGGGGGCTGGGCTCCACGAGCTCTATTTGACCCCGCCAGCCCAGTACTGCCTTTTGTGGCCTCTCTGGGAATGTTGTGCAACATGTTGGCCACAAACACTTTATGAGTGAGAGGACAGGAAGAAATTTTCCTCTATCGACCCACAGTCAAACCTGCTCCCTCCCCCTCCTCTTCATGTGTCTCCTTGGCAAGGAGGGGGACAAGGCGAAGACCGCCCTCTCAGCAGAGCCCCTAAGGAGCAGCCCAATCTCAGGGCCTCTTCCTCCAACTTCCCCAGGGCCAGACCCGAAACAGCTGCTGCCCCCCAACCCCTGGCATGGAGGGGTGGGAAGACCTAGATCTAGGGGACCTGGATGCATAGGACCTAAGGCCCTCAGCCCCTTGGGGCAGGCACTCCCTCTGAGGTCACCTGGTCTAAGAGTCCCAAGACCTTTCACCCAAACATCAAGAAAAGAGAAAAATAAGATTTTTGTAGGAAATTGTTCCTAAAGCTCTGTCTATTCAATATGAAGCTCTAACCTCTCTATTTGGGGTTATGTCTTTTCAACTTTTTTGACATGAAAATATCCTTTCTTTTGTGAAATCATTCTGACAGTGGTTGATAGTTTTCTCTCAGTGCCCTTATATGGGCAAATTAATAGCTGGCAGCTTTATGCTGGAAGCCACATTTTAAAATATTACTCTTTTCCATGCAGGAAGCACAAAACTGTCCCCACCTCATCAAGAAGGCCTGCTGACCACTAGCCTGGGTGAAAGGGGGAGCTCCCCACATTCCTGCCCCAGCTGGGCCTGCAATGTGGTATGACCCAAGACAAGCCCCTTCCTCTCTCCAGCCCTGGTTGGTCTCCCCATCCACTCAGTGAGCAGGTGGGACAGATGTTCCTTCTCAGTCTATGGTCTAGACCCGCTCTGGCCCCTGCGCTGGGTGCCTTTAGCCCGCCCCACCCTGAGATGACCACAGGTGGATGCTGATATGCTGGGGTGGGGGGCGGGGGCGGGCAGGTGACGCCTGGGAGTCACCGCCAACTACCCTGAAATGCCCTTCACCAGGCTCCACTGGAGACTGCAGTCTCTGAGCTGGGGGCAGGGAGATGGGAGGGGTCTTCGGCCTTTGGCCAGGGAGACCTTCGTGATGCACCAGGGAAGGAGAGAAGCATTTGTCTCAGGGGCTCAGTCTGCACTGAGTTCTCGGGACCCCCTCCCCTTCCTGCCCCCAAGGCTTGGCTGGAGCACAAGGGGCCCCTTTGTGGGACCTAATCTCAAAGCACTGCGGCTTTAGCGACCTTCAGGGATGAAAGCGCTAGGAGCTGGCGGCTGGGAGGTGGTGTGGGGGGCAGCCCCACTAATCCCTGCGCTTTCCCCAAACAAAGCTGCCAGGAGGGGCTGGCTCCCGGGAGATGATCCAGAGAACCAATTCCTGGAGCCTAACCCGCTCTGACAGCCCGAAAAGGAGAGGCCCGCTGCCCGCCCCGGTGGCCCCAGCTCAGCCTTAGAGGTTGAGGGGGGCCTGGCCTGGGGCCTTTAGCACTTTCTCCCCCCCAGCCATGGAACCTCTCCTTGCCCGTGAGGACGTTTTTCTACTTCCTCTCTCTCCACGTTCAGCTCCACAGGCCCCCTCATTCCTCAGCCCCAAATGCCTCAACCTCTTTTGAGGTCCTGATCTTCTAGTCCCCCAACACCCCGGTTCTTAACCTTCAGCCCCTAAATTCCCCAATACCTCAAATCCTCAGCCCCCCAATATCCCAGTCCTCAGTATCCCAGACCCAGGTCCTCTGTCTTCTGTCTCCTAATTCCACAACCCCAGTTCCAACCCCCAGCTCCCAACCTCTTGGCTTCCCAATCTCCACTCTCTAGATTCTCAGCCCCCAATCCTTAATTCTCCAGCCTCCACAGCACACCAACCCCTGTTCTCTCAGCCCCTCCCCTCCTGGTCTGACCTGATGTTCCTACTGTTCCCAGGGATATACCTGGCTATCTCTGCCCCATTCCATCCCGTCTGGCCAGGCTTCCTGTGCCCCTTGTGCCCAGACCTGTACTCACCTTCTCATGGAGAAGACTGAGGGAAGTGATTCTGACTCAACCCTGATTAAACCCACACCTCCCACCAGACACTCCCTCCAGCTGTGATCACCCTGGAATCCTGAGGCTTCATCCCAGTCTCACAGGTGAGCACATCATCATGACCAGAAGAAGGGGCCGGGGTCCCTCCTGGGCTCAGTGGTCTGAGAAAAGCAGCCCAGCGGAGCGGAGAGGTGCCAGCAGGACTGGGCTTTCTGCTGCCCCATCTCTCCCCCGGCCTGAGGAGACCCAGGATGCAGAAATCTCCACCAAACCCAGAGAGAGCCAGGTGATAGGTAGGATCACCCAGGCCAACAGAGGCCACTGAAGAGCCAAGATGGCTTTGGGGCCCACAGGGGAGGGGTTGGGCAGGGCAAGAGGGTTGGATTCCCAGGAGAGGGGTGGGGGCCAGGCTAACCCAGAGCATTTTCCCACCGTAGCCTCTGCCGTCTCCACTCACTAATCTGATTACGATATTTACCAACCTCCCATGGCCTGCTTGGGGCAGAGGGGGGTGTTACACTGAGGATCTCAGTTCCAGTTCCCAGCAAAATGGGAGGCCCAGAAAGGTGTTTATGGGCCTGAAGTGACTGCACCAGGCCCTCCCTCCTGCCTGCCCCAGGTCAGAGGGCTATGGGAGACGCCTCCCCATCAAGTTTAGCCTTGCTTCGTAAGTGTCCCCTGTCACACTCTGTCTCCAAGTCACTTCTGGGCCCCTCATGCTGTCCCATCCCAGAGCCATGACTATAATGATAATATGCAAGCCTGGGGCAGTGCCTGCCTTCCTTCCGAAAAATCAAAACTTTAGTGGTGAGCTTTTAGGCACTGAGGACAGGAGGCTGGCGGCACGCCCCAAGGGGCTGCTTCACCTAGTTGGAGTCAATGTCACACACACTTGCTTTGACCTCACACCCAGGCTCAGCCCCTTCCCAAAGTGTGTGTAGAGGGGGAAGGGCGTGCACTGTAGCACCTGTCTCAGGTTTTGCTGTGAAAAGAACAGAACAAACCTTGTTTTCTCTCTCTCTCTCTCTCTCTCTCTCTCTCAGTCACACACACACACACACACACCTGTGCACACACATGCACACACTATTTATTAGTGTGTCACAGACATGGTCACACTGTCACACAGGGAAGGCCCGCCCCACCCAGCCCCCTTCCTCTTCTCCATACCACTGGGCACCAGACAGGTCTGTCGGGGCTTGGCTTGGGCGTGCTCCTTCCCCAGCTGGTGTAGGTGTTAGTCCAGTGGAGGGAGGACACTGCCTGTAGATGAGAAGGGAGCAATCTTAGGGAAGCCAAGGGGAGACTCTTACTCCTTATCTCCCACAGATGGGACGATTTGAGAGGCAGAGTGCCAGTCTCCAGGGTTGAGGACAGTGGAGGTGGTCCTCCCCAGAGGAACGACAGCACCTCTTCCACCTCCCTCTACCCCAGAGGTCTAAGGCCAAGTTAATTCATCCCTCGTAGGACTTCAAATAGAGAAGTAATTCTGGGAAGCAGGTAAGAGTGTCTTTAAAAGGCAAACAAGACAAGGCCAAATTCAGACTTGGACAAAGCTCACCCTCTCCTGAGGGCTCTCAAGGGTTCCAACCCACAGTGTACTCAGCGCTCCCCCTTGTGGGCTATTCCGGCTCTGGGCAATTACAGCTGTGGGGTCTGAGAATAGAGAAAGGATTGGGCGCCCCCTGCTGCCAAACCTCCAGAACTGCATCCTCTCCCCAGGGTGCCCCGGGCCAAGTGACCCCTCTCCCCCAAAATCACACAAGGCCTCCTCCTCTCACCTGTACCACCAGTTGGACCAAAGAATCTATCCTGCCTTGGGGTCCCAATTCCCTACTGGTAGCTGATTGGAAAAGGGGATGGCCTGGCTGAAGTAGGAGCAGTTGTTGTCGGGGAAATGGAATGTCACAGGCTGAATCTTGGCTTTTTTAGCCCCTAAGGGGCTAAGCGGGTGGAGAGACTAACACAGGAAACTGCCTAAGAGAGGGGAAGACTGTGACCCAGAGACTAGGGAGGAGGGGACAGGGGAGAGGAATCTGATGAGGGAGGAGAGAGGGGACAGAGGAGAGGAGCACAGGTGAGAGGACATAGTGAACAGGACAGGTGAGGCAGACACAGGTGATGGAGAAAGAAGGATGTGCACAGGTGAGGGCACAGGTGATCTTGGCAAGAGCAAATGGCGCAGGGAAGGTGTGGAGTGAATGGAGACCACCAAGGGGCTCACGAGCAAGAGTTGGTGCCCCCTGCCGCCTGCCATCCACTGGTGCACATCCGGCCCTGCGTGTCCAGCCAGCTCTGTGACTGATGGCCAGGCCCCCGCTGGGGCACTGAGGACAGGCACTCAGCAGAGGCAAACAGCTTGGACGTCTGTAGCTTCTGGACTACGGGGCATGGTGGAGGCAGTGGGCAGAACAGATTGAGTTCAGTGCTGTGGTCAGAGGTCCAGACCTGGGGGTGGGGTCAGGGGGCTATGGTCATGAGCCAGGCCCCAGGGGTCCTCGCACAGGCAGGCCCAGCCCCTCTTTCCTGTTGCAAAGCTCGGAAGGGAGCCCTGTCCAGCTGGGTTGGAGTCCAGAGAGCCCTGGCTTCCAGCCTGCCGGTTCCATTCAGGGCAGGACAGAGCCCTGTGTTCTGACCCCGCCTCCCAGCCCCGCCCCCCCCAACACACACACTATGCCCCCAGCACTGATAGCCAGGCGCAAAGAAGGGAAGGGGCAAGCTCACACTCTACTCTCAGCCTCGTCTTCCTCCACCCCTTTGCAGTTGTATATGCATGGGTGGAGGGGGTGTTAAGGAGACCATACTTAACAGATTGTCCCACCCCAAATCCATGATTCCTGCCACCCAAAGCGCTTACCCGCCCTGTCCCCTGTGGGAGAAAAGCCAGCTTCGTTACCTCCCTTTCTCAGCAAGGGCCTTTTGGAGGGGAGAGGGAGGCAGACTAGGGTGGACAGTGTGTAGCTCTCCCATGGTCGCCCAGCAGATGAGCTGGGCTAGGACCTGGCTGTCCTGCATTATCCAGGGCCCTGTGATGGGTTCATCCATCTGCCCCCCAGCCTCTTAGAACCTTTCCACACACATTACACAAAGGCCAGAAGATCTGTGGCCATGAGGAGGGGTAGGGGCCCGGGGAAGCAGACTTGAGACCCACCTTCTGTCTCCACATCCTATGAGGTTTTCTTGGTTGTGGGCTGAGTACCCCTAGGGGTCTCAGGGCCCTGGTACCAAGAAAGAAAGGCCACTCAGGACTCCAAATGAGGAAGCATGAAGCAATGAGACAGGTGGCCAGGGAGGTGCTGAGCTTCCCATGTCTCAGAGAGTTCAAGAAGAGGCTGGAAAAGGAGGCTGGATGGGATGCTCTTGAGAATCCTTCCAGACCTGGAGCCCCAGATGCTCCCAGGTAGGAATGGAAAAAGTCACCCTCCCTCAGTAGGGACCCCTTGCTCCCTACTCCCCTTCCTCCCCAGCACATGGTCAGAAGGAGAGAGTCTGAGGGGCCTCATTTCTCCAACTTCCCTCCCCCAACCCCCAGGTTCCCCAAGAGAGCCTGGTGTCCAGGCTTAAAGATGCCCCAGCCCAACCCCCCGCAGCAGCCCCCTCCCCGAGCTCCCCTGCCTCCACAAGCCTCCTATACGCCTGGCTGGGGGCGCATGGGGGGGGCGACACCAAGGGGCTGGGGTGGGGCTCATCATCAGCTGCAGCGCCATCCTCGGCCCCACCCTATCACAGCCCCCTCGGCGCCACCCTATCACAGCACAGCCCCCTCGGCCCCACCCTATCACAGCACAGCCCCCTCGGCCCCACCCTATCACAGCACAGCCCCCTCGGCCCCACCCTATCACAGCACAG